ACCCTTTGTGTCTGTTCTTACATTCATCCTTTAGGAGTCTCTCTAAAGACCTACATCTGAACTGGAGAGTGCAAAACATTTCCTTACCAGCTTTGCACTTACAGAAAACAGATTTCCTCACCTCGAGCTCAGGCAAACCCTGGGTGTAAGAGGCTAATGGGGCAGGTTCCCGCTCAGGTTTGTCCCTGGTGGTGCTGGGGCAGTGGCAGCGCCTCAGTAGTGAGTACGAGTGAAAGTGCGTGAGCCGCTCGCCTCGGGCGCCGTGGTGTAACGCGCCTGTGCGCAGCTAATCCGCCTTGTGCCTTGCTGACCCTAACCTGCTTAGTCTTGCGTGAAGTGTATTCCCTGTCTTTTTGTGAGCCTGATCCAAAGCCTATGGAAGCCAGTGGAAAGAGGCTATTTTTTTTTTTTTTTTTTTCAGTACCTTTGGAGCAAACGCTGTGTGAGCAGCTGGTCTAGTATTGAGTCTTCTAGTTGAAAGACAAGGAAAATAAGCAGCACCAAACCACACCGGACTCATCACTTTATTTAAGATATAAATGAAAGTAATGTGAAACTTGTAAAAACCAGACTGGACAAAACACTCCGAAACATGCTTCAGAGAGTGGTCTAGTGCTAGTGGGGGAATAGGTTAGATATTTAATAATTTCTTTTCCATAGCTTTTAGTTTTCCACATATTCTCTAATGTAACAGTGCTTTTTTTTCCCCCATAGGCAAATAGCTGCCAGGCAGCAGCAATGGAATAAGAACATATGTAGCGTTTGCTTTTATCTCACATTACAAAAGCAGTATGAATACCTTCCAAGTGTAAAATTACAGGTGTCAAATCATTTGGTACTTTAGGTGCTGTGCCAGAAAAGTAATCCAGTAAAAATGCCATGTCCTGTCAGAGGGCTGTGTTTGGTGCTGTTACTCCCTACTTGCTTGGCTCCAGCAGGGGAGGATTGTGAGTGACAAGTCTAAGAGCAGCAAGAAACCTGTCTGGAATTGCTCAGAGCATGGGCAGAGAGGCAGATGGACGGCGCATGGACCGGAGGGCCCGATGTTACAACCTGCCTGGTGTGCTCCACAGCTGGTTTGAGCTTCAAGATGCTGCTAAGCAAAAATTTTAATTGTTATCCACACCAGAAAAGCTGGGTCTGGAGAAAAGCTTTTTAGTAGAATATTTCCCTAAAGAGGGCAGCAGAACCACTGCCTTTAGTGCTTCCTTTGAGCCCCTACAGCTGCAAGGAAACCTAGACAGAGGCACGGCCTGGTTTGCTGAACTGGAGCGTGCTGCTTCTCACAGCGTGGACGCTAAGAGGCTTGTTAAAGGACACAGCAGCCAGCAAGTGAATCTTTAATCCTTGGAAAATCCTTTAAGTTTATATCAGTATAAAGCAGTTCATGTAAAAAAGGGAACTTTTACTCATTGTTTCACGTGTGTTTCCAGATCAGATGTATTTGCTTTTATGCTGGTGATCATCACAATGCGTTTTACTTGTCATTTTTGGAGTGAATTTTGGCTGCATTGATAGACACCCCTAAACCTAGCTCTCTTCCTCTACTTTCTTGAAAAACATGGCAGTCATATTCATTCTTCACCGTGGTATTTTAAATACTTGGTACCTAGAGTGTGGCAGGCTACCTTCTATATGAAAGAATATCAGGCTAAATCCTGATGTTAGGAGCCTGCAGTGTGTTAAAACCTCAGAAACTATGGGGCCATGTAATGCCCTGCAGCTTGCTTGTCCTGACTGAGATATGAATAAGGGGTTAATAGTCACATTGGTTAATACCCAGGGAAAAAAAAAAAAGGCATCCTTTTAATTTGGTTGCTCTTTTTTATTTGTAAGGCACATGACCTCACCATATGCAAATTTCCCATGCTGAAATGAGTAAGCCCCCTTTAGCTTCCTTTTTCATGTGAGCTTCTTTTCTGTTCTTGTTTCTTTTCTTCCCTGCAGAAAGGCAGGGTACCGAAAGCCAGAACAAGCAAGGAAGGGTCAGTGAGTTCCCCATGCTGCAGCTGGGCCCAGGCCCGCTGTAGCAGGTGGAGGGCTGCGTATAGCGTGCCTGGGTGCGCTGCCAGGTGAGCTGTTTGTTCGATAGTTAGCTCCAGTTAACTAACATGTCTATTCATTCTCAAATAAGCACCCCGGCAGGGTTTGCTTCGAGGCAAATACTTGCTCTGCTACCGTCCTCCTCTCCTGGCTCAGCTGACTGCCATCCCCTGTGCAAGGGCCCAAGTTTTTTAGCCTCTGTAGTCAGGCGAGTTAATTGCCGCTCGTTTTGTGCGCTCTTCTGCATGACCGAGAGCTTTCATGTCTTTTCCACAGGGCAGAGGAGGAAGCGTCGCCTGCGTGAAGGGCCCATTTCTCAGGCAATATGTGATTAAGAGTTGCCAAGAAGTGGCTGGCTGGGATGTGCGGCAGGCAGTAGGGAGCAGGGGAAGAAACTCGGAGAAGCCTAAAGCCATTTGTGTAGCAATGAGCCGTCCTCATCTCCGGCTTCTGGTTTGGGCTGGACTCGCTGGGTGTGGTTGCGGTAGTAATAGAGGAGTATCTATTATTGCTCAGCTTTCATATCGCTCCAAGAAAACCAGATTTCTCTCCCAGGCCAAAAATGTAGCCCCCATCAAAGTGGATATTCAAATACAGTGATTTTAGAGGTTATGGCCTGCAATAGCAAGAACAGCAGCAGAGATCACGTACTTTCACCATCGCTAATCTCTTTTTTTTTTCCTTGATTTTTTCTTAAATTTATTTTCAGCTAAATAAACTATAGCAAAGAGCCTTTCACTGTGTGCTAAGATATTCTCAAGGACTCTTGTTTCCAAGGGTGACTTTAGTGGGGGCAGCAATGCAGTCTCCGAACAGAGTTCTTACGTGTCCCAGTTACAGATTTACTTCCCGCGCTGCTGACAGCTTGATTTGTGAAAGAAAAAAGGACAAAATACCAAAACAAAAACAAAACTCAACCCACAGCCGGCGCAAGAGAGAAAAAACACAGACTTGTTGTGCCACAGCGGAAGAATGTCAACCAGAAATAACATTTCAAAGGAAGAGAACTAGTCTTCATGTACATGATAAAAATCCTTTTACAAGAATAAGTCACATAGTTGTAACTATTTTTATACTTTATAAGTTTCCTGTTTTATACCTGTGGGATATGTCTGTGCAGCTAGCTGGAGGCCAATTTTAACCTTGTACTATTGAAATCTCTTGACCTGTGGCTTGGTACAGAGCTGGCCATTGTTTACATTTTTCCTGCTTTGAAATAAGGGATATCTGGGAAACCTCAAAAAAAAAAAAATCACATAGCTGATTATAACTGGTTGTGTTTTACTTAGCTGCCTGCTTCTGCAGCAAAGTAACCAAACATTGCGAGGGGAAGGTTGCTTAATTGAGCAGATGTCAAAAACTCACCGTGATGCCCTTATGCCAAACCTGACAGGGACTAGGGGGAACATTAAATGCACGTGTCACTCTGGAGCTGTTTCATTCTGGCTTGAGCCTAAGCAGCAGCTGTGGGGAGCGCAGGCAGGAGTGGGGTGCTCCGTTGGTGAACAAAAAGTTTTTATTTCTGAAGCAAAGTCTCATGGCAAAGCACTGCGGGACTCATGATTCATAAAGCTGGTTAAGTGCTAAAGGGAGCTGTGTCTTGATTTGCCTCTTATAAAAGCACGGGTTTGCTTATAAACGCACTCTTCAGAGTCACAGTCCAGCACATTCCTCAAAGAGGAGTTCACGGCTTCATCTGAGCCCGAACCCCCAACAGCTACTGCATCCAGCACTTCCATGGTAGATGGGGTAGCTGCCTCCCAGCCACTGAGTTAATGACCATTACATGGAGAAAAAAAATAGGATGGTCCAGAAAAGAGGGGTAAAGCAAATGGCTGATCACTGCCACTGATGAAACAAACTTTCTGTAAGTGTGCTCTCAAATTATTCTGAGTAAGTAGTCCTCCCTTTCCTTAAAATGGGGAACTTCTACTCTAAGTTTGGTTTTGTGAGGAAAATTGTATTCTCTGTTATGCCACGGAGCAGATCAAGCTTGTTTTTATCTTGCTGCTTGCGTTTTGGGCAGGAGGAGCTGGGGCCTGCAAGAGAACAGGCTGGAGCCAAGGGCAGCACCCACAGCAATCAAGCAGGATGTGGCCACCAAAATGGTTATGCTGTAAGATAAATGCTACAGAATAAAAGCCATACAAAAACATTTAAGTAGTTAGTGGTAAAAAAGTAAGTGGTACAGGTGAGCAGATGTGTTTTGGTAAGGATTAAGGGCAACGTGGAGGAACTGACTTGCCAGAAATACTGAGGAAACATTGGTACACAGTGCACAACTTTTCTAAAATCAAATACACAGTTTTGGGGATGTAACATCTATTATATGGTGAGTGTAGGAATCTGCCTTCCCCAGTATAGTAAGGATCCTGTTCTTTCGATAGCTTATCCTGTTCCCTTATGAGGATGCATGAGAAATGCTTTCTTTTCTTAGCATGCCTCTATATGCATGCATGTTTATATATGTATGCGTGTGTGTATCCCATTAGTAACAGTGAGCATTAAGTGTATATATACATCAGGGCTGGAGTAGGCTGTAAAATTTCCTTGCCATCTGCACAAAGATCAGACCAGCTTTAAAATAATACTCAGATGTTTAGGAAAGCTAAACTGAATGGTGCTGATGAAGTCTCTGTGTGAGGCAAAAAAATCATTTCTCAACTGGAAAGCTTTTCTGAAAATAAGGAGATTCAAGATTCTAGTGACAGATTTTCTCTGCTCCAAATGCACGATCCAGGGTTTCTGGTGTGTAGGAACTTTGTTCAAGCATCACATAGGTTTAGCATGACAAAAGTTACGGTATGACAAAACGTTTTCATACTGAGCCCTAATTCACAAGAGGATTTCTTACCCTCCACAGAGGAAAGCTACTTGTCACCGTGGGCCAACGCTGCAGAGAGACGAATTCAGCAGCAGCCGCTGCCTGGCCAGAAGCTCTGCCCACCCCTGAGAAGCACGGGGCAACAGCAAGAGCACGAGCAGCGGTAGGATGGCACATCTGTAGATGGAAGGATACAAATTTGATTACAGTCTTTCTTATGCTGTTACTTAAGTTCAGCCAATCGAATTTACGTTGAGCAAAATCCAGAGCCTGCTGGAGCCTGTGGGAGTTTTGCCATCAGCTTCCCTAGGGGGATGGGATTTTGCTCGTTGTTTGAATTAGTAGTATCTTCACAGGAGCATATGGGAACAAATGCAGAGGTTCTGCAGTGGGGGAACCAGTAATCAGCTTTATGCATTTACTTTGTTACACAGGTAAAAGCTTAGACAGCAAAACCCATCTGCCAGGCCTCTGACACATCTGTAAAACCATGTTAGAGTCAGAGCATTCTTTCTTATTTTATTTATAGCTCTGGCTGCCTGAATGAGTGCATCTGGAGCTCAGATGCCTTATGCCCTTTTTATAAATTAGTTAACTTGATAAACTGCATACTCTGTCAGATCTTTGCTGTGGAAATGCCAGGCTCTTCAGCTGAGGTGCTTTTGTGTGTGCGTATGTTTTCTTACGTGAAAAAGCTGTTGAACTTTATGCATAAACACTGTTTTCTGTCTCTTTTTTTCCTCCCTCTTTTGTTACGGGCTGTGAGCTAGCATTGAATATTCAGGGAAAGCTCCCCAGAGAGATTAGGGACATGGACAGATTTTAAGCAGGGCCTTAATGCATGGACACGAAAGGACAAACATTCTAGTGGGAATACTAACGCAAATGCCTTGCTTTTGGGTCAAAATACAATAAACAGCTGCTTACATGCTAAGGATTCTTTTAAAATCCATAGAGAAAGGATGTTATAAGATATATATATAGAGAGAGATTTTCTGTTTCCTCAGTGTAGTAGCCAAAAATAATACTTTGCCTTAAAACATACAACAGTATCAAGTGTCAGTGCTAGAAAGAAGAACGTCTATTTTTCACATTCTGCAGGGTTGATAATTCCAGATGCTCCTGGGACTTATTTCAGATAGCTGACAGACAGTAGTCCATGTATTTCCCGTTGCACTATAGGAACTCTTGAGTGAACTGCTGCTCTCTTCAGTTAATCTGATGTTAATTGTACAGTTGCAGAAAACTTGTGCAGAAAATTGTATTGCTCTTTCAAGAAACCTGTTGCGCAGAAAAATGGTAACAATATATGTATTTTGTGTATATATAATATATATATATTTTGGCCAGCTGCTCAGTGACTAAAGTCAGTGGGAGAAACAAGAGATGGAGAGTTCTGTAAAAGCTGACATCCTAGATCGTTCACCATTTCCAAACTGTGTTACATAATCAGCAGCAATATCAACGGCACAACACTGCTTTAATCACCACGCAGTTGGTATTTATTATTAAGGCATATATGCATATTAAAGGCATGTTTGACAGGTTAAAAAAATGTAATGAAAGTTAGAAAAAGTGCTTCATGTTTCCTCCAGTTGCTGAAATAAATATACTGCTGTATTGCTCCCTTATGGCACCCTAATCCTAGCTCCTCCTCACTGCTGTGTCCCAGACTCTAAAGTGAAATATCATATGCAATATGTAACAGCAGCTTTTGTAAATACTTGCATCATTTAAGTTCCCATTGTGGACCACATTGCATTACTAGTGCATTTTGAGTGGCCCATTAATCCCAGGAATATGCCTCTATTACCAGCATCTTATGTTAGAATAATCCCTAAAAAAAAAGCTGTCCATCAGCTGAGGCCCTTGTCTTTCGGTGCTGCATGTTGGCAGCTGCTGCAAGCGGGAGGCAGATTCAGACTCCCTGGATCCAGAAGCACCAAAACGTCTTGGGCTTAACCTCGGTTTGGTGCAGATGAAATGCTCTGCGGTGAGGAAGGGGCCAGCGCTGTCCCCCACACTGCAATGTTTCCTAGTCACCTCCTTTCTGGCTCTTCCCAGTCTGCTCCTTTTGGCCTCTTTGAGCTTTCTACCAGTGGAGACATCTCTCTCCAACCTTACCGCCTTTCCTGGTCTGCTGCTCCTAACCATGCCCTTTAAACTGGCCCTTGGAGACATGTTCTCGGTGTCCCTGAAGGTTGTCGCCAAGGTTATTCTGACGCCCGGCGTCGTGGACGTTTCGTTCTCCACATCCTGTTTGCTGCCTAGGAGGCTCCCGTCCTGCCACTTGAACGTGTAGGTTGGGCCGCAGTTGCCGCTTGCTGAATGTGTAATTTAGGATTCTTTGGGGCTGAGATGGCCTCTCTAACCTTGGGCTTGCTCTCGGGGATGTCTGTGGTGTAACCCACACTCAACAGCTTGTGGCTGGGATTTTAAAGAGAACAGTTCCCTCTGAGAGTACGACTGCCGCTGGCAGCGCTGCAAGATGTCTGCGCTAATCCGGGGCCGCTAAACCTAGCCTGGCAGCAGGAGCAGGCAGACTCGTCTCCACTGGTGGCCATGAGGGTCCCCCTACATGCTCCTTCCCGTGAGGGTCTCCCCATGCTCTTCCCACTCTGTGCTCTGCAGCGCTCGGCTCTTTTGCAGAGCTGCTTGGTGAGGAAGTGATGCCGCGGGGCAGCACGGGTTAGCAACAGTGCTCACCTTTGCAAGGTGAGCTGTGCAGACATGCTAAAGCCCACTTGCCTTTTTGCTGCATAATGTGGATTAGAAAGGGCGAAGGGGGTGAAATTAAGGCCATTTTCCTCATTGCTTCCACTCCATGGAGGCCCTAGCAGGTGAGCCCAGCAGGCGTCAGCAACGGCCTGAGCCTCTTGGCCTAAACCCCTTCTGCATCTCAGACCAAAACTTTGCTGTCAGTCCTGCCTTGCCAACTGTGCTCACCAGCTGCAGTGGAATCCCCCGAGCCCACGGTGAGTGCATTAGTGCTCCTGGGCAGAGCTGTCACACGCTCCGAGAAAGGAAGACGATGACTAAAACAAACGGGCTCAAGCAGTGTTCGTATTCGGAGTTAGTACAAGAGGAGGCAGCGCTTCATCTCCGTTTGGAGCCGTGAACCATGGGTCAAAGGTACAGTTTTGGAGACTGGAGTCTCAGTGCCCAGAGCAGCAAGGCCACTTCTGTGCAAAAGGCAGTGGGGAAAACTTGCACATGTCTTGGAGCAGCCAGAAAGGAGCCAGGCTTTACTGTAAATTAGGCTCTAGCTTTTCTGTTTTCTTTTTTCTTGAGATGCTTTCACCTCCAGAAGCATCCTGCCTTCTTAACATCGGCAGTGGTAGGTCAGCTTCTGAAATCACGGGGATCCATGCTGGGTTTCTGAGACATCCTTCCCCATTGCTGACCAGTCTGCACCCTCTCCCCATGCTCTTGGCCACAAAAAAAAAAAAAAATCTTTCCTCTTTTCTCTCTTTTTTCTCCTCTTTTCTCCGCCCCATCTCACCTCAACAGGAGCCAAATTCATCTCCAGCTGCTGCCACGGCAGCCTGGCTGTGAGCGCCAACAGGCAGCAGCAGGTATTGGAGGTCAAGCAGCAGCTGCCCACTAGTAATGGTGATCACTTCTGGAAAAATAATTTAAAAAAAAAATCCAAAATAACCCCCAGACTCACAAAGCTTTTTTTTTGGCACAATTGAGTTGCATGCAGTGGTAGAGAATTGAAAACATGAAGGCTGAAATAAACTCCTATCTGGACACAGCACGTTTACTGTGTGCCTTTAGTTTTAACAACGTGCTGAAAGTGTTCTTTATGGGCCTGCACTGGGTGGCTAAAAAACTTCAAATGACTTAATTATCTGGATTTTGAAGTTTTACCAGTAAAGAGGAAAGGCACAGGTTGAGAATAACGCAAGGAGCAGGGAGTTATTCAGCTGCGCAGCTGACCGTGCCCCCGCAGCCTGTTTTCTCGCCTGTGCTTGTCTCAGGTTGATAACGCTTGCTGTGAGCAGGAACACTTCTCCGCATGCAGAAAGGCAAAATGTGCAGCTGGACACGTTGCTTCTGTTCCTACTCATTTCTGTCCTTGGGTCCTTTGCTTTTTAAATAGTCACTGTGCTAGGCAATGTCAGGGGCTGGGCCGGGCCTCTCATTTTCCATTTTTTTTTTTTTTTTTTATTCTGTTGTTGATTTGCACGACTTACGGTAGATTCCTTATCACCTGCTCCCTGCAAGGCAAACTGCAGGGCTGCTCCCCTTCTGGAGCAGCTGTGCTGGAGAACTGCTGATGAGGAACAAAATGGGAGCTACTGAGCAGTCATTTGGAGACTGGCTATTAAAAAAAAATCCAGCTAATTAGAGCTTAGAGGAAGAGGCAATACTTTGTGCAAAAGCACCAGAAGGTAGGCCCTTCAAATCCCATACACTCCCTGCAAATAGCTATAATTAACCCTGTAGTATTCACTTTATTAATTAAAATTTAATTAATATTTTTTGTCCTTGCCGATAACGTAGTGGCAGCTGGGCTTCCCTAGAGCAGCAGTAACATTCAGGGAGACAGAAGCTTGGCAGACTCCTCCGATTCTCCCAGTTGCTACTCTCCTATAACAGAACTTAAACTGGTGACTGAGCAGCGGTCAGAGGTGGGAGGATGGGGACTGTGCAAGCCCACAGCCTTCCCCTGCACACGCGGGTGGTACTGAGCTCCCAGGCACCTCCCTATTTTTTTTCCAAGCAGTGTGTCCAGCGCTTGCCTAGGTTATTTGAAAGCACAAGAGGAATGCTGAGAAAACAAATGCCCTTGTTACTCATTTGCCTGCACCAGCGGAAGGCTGCTGTACAGCACCGTGCTTAGCTCTGCTTTGCGCACAGCTTGGTGCTTCACTGCAGTGCATCGAACTCAGCAGAGGTGGCTCTCCTGAAGCACTACTCCAGGTTAGTCTGGAGCATTATATAGGCCTCCCGCAGCACCTTTTTCCCCTAGAGCACACAACAAATATTTCTGGCATTGTAATGCTTTTGACCTACTGCTGCTCTGGTATTGTAATGTTTTTGGCTTACCAGTGCTCTGCTGGGCTGTAGCATACACCTGTAATTATTGGGCATACTTTGAACTTTTTTAGTTCAAAAATCTTCTTCAGAACACCAAGCCCATCCACAGAAAACAAC